CTGTAATAGCTAAATAGAAACAAATACACATGTGAAAGGACATTCATGTGTTGTTGGAAAATATAAGTATGTCTAAATGTTGCTTGAACAATTAACCTCTGAAGTGGTACGAATATCTTAATTATACAGAACCACTTGCACTTGCTGAAAATTACATTCTGTTCCTCAGTGTGATAATATTAGTTCACTGTATCATATTTTTAATGGCGGTATTTAGGGCGCTGAAAACGGATTGGTTTGGTCTCTCACTTTAGGCAAAGAACTCCAACTCATGGGCTGGGATAGTTTAGGAGAGCTGCAGTGTTTTACACCATGACCTGTTGGCATATTCTTTTTTTTTAGTGGCACTGCTATCACTGCAAGGAGATAGTAGCGGCTGTAGCGGCAGCTTTTGAATTACCAGTTTACAGGTTGTCATATTAAGGTGAACTATTGCCAATTTTATGTTAACACCATATGCCAGACTGTAAACTGTCTCTACACTGAAGTCACAATATAAGCAAGTAAGCTCCTTTAACTGCCGCAGGAATCATTATAGCTATTGAAAAGAACACCAAGCGCATTCAGGACTCAGAATCCCACAGACAGATCAAAGTACCTTGAGATGTAAACACCAGTGAGATCATTTGTTTGCAAACCATTTTTACTGCAAATAAGGTTTCATCATCTGATTTCAGTCAGTGCCTTGAAAAATTTACAGTGTGACAACATTACAAAGTCCAGCTCCTGCTGAGCTTGCCCTCCACTTACATAAAAGAATAGTGAAAACTGATGCAGTCCTCTCTTTCATCATACAAACAGCCCTCAATTCTGAGTAAAATTATGGAGACCTCCGAGTTTCACCTTGCTAGCTGGCTAACCCTGAGCCATAAAAGGAAAAAGTTTGAACTTGAAGAGACTTGTTACATCCTTCAAGCCCAGCCAGTAGCCAAGAACTGTGTCTCAAACTTTAGAGACAGGCAAGGCAAGGCAAGCCAACGCTGAGAGAAGAATGGATTAAACCTTTCATCTTTGTATTCATACTTCCCAGTTAAAATATTAATCTTATAATATATTTCAATTCTGGAGATTTCAGTTCCGTTTAGAAAGAAATTGTTTTTTCCCCTGTTTAAGTGATGCAAAACAATGAACTGTCCTAGTGCAATCATTTTTAAAAAACTAAATGGCATAGGTCACCTCCTATAAAATTCAAACCAGTAAATATTAGCTTATGACTTTACTATTAAAGAACTGATAACTTCTCAATGGTAAGTATAACATGTTTAAATTGACGTAGCAAGAAGCAGGGCAAACAGTCTAAAAATAAAACATAGGTAAGTCATGCTGGAAATGATCTCCAGATACTGCGTGGAAGTACATTGCACATACATGCATCGGTAAGATGAACTCCCTACAAAGAGGTAGATACTTCTGTTATCAGTGCAATGTCACCATACTTCTCATTAGACAACAGTTCAGCACACTAACTTCTGTACTACAGAGATACTAGCTTTGATAAGCAACAAAAGCAAGTTTTGACCAAAGCAGACAGGCAGCATCCCTTCTAGGCAGGGCTTTCGTGCAAGCCATCCAAGCCTCCACATGCACAGCAATTTAATTATTCAGCATGTTAAAGCACACTACGCTCAAAGAATTTACAATTTCATGACACCTACTTGTTCTCCACAATGCTGCCACTAAATGTCTGAAATTTAGGCAAAGAAAACAGCTACTGGAGAACATAACAGACATATGATATACTATGCATATAAAAATTATTATATAATTACTATATACAGATATAATATATGTATTTAGTATATAATACTACATCTTCATGATTTCTGTATTCTCCTCAGATGACACAGTGGAGGATAAGTAACATACATGCCTTCAGATGGTGTTAAGAGAAACAAGATGGTCGTACAGCATAGTTTTTAACATAATGGTGAATTCCCCATATGGAACTACACACAAACCATTCAAATTGCAAATCAGAGATGACACTGAAAAGGCAAATCTCTATCAACTAAATAGTAAACATACCTAAAAGTCTAGGTGATAAGACTTTCTGAAGATGGGTTCCAGTTAACATTCACTTGTTTAGTCCCATATAATGCAAAATATTTCCCCACATAAGACAAGTAGTATATATCATTAGTATTCTTTCCCAATATCATCCAATTTCCACATGCTTTCAACAGAAGGCATATTCACCATTGAGTAGCAGCCTCAATGGCTTTGTAAGCCTCAGTTAAGTGCTTAAGTGTAAGTGATAATGTGAATGGCAGTACTGTGCAGTCTTTATAGAATTGCTGTCCTGACAGCCAAGGGACTTACCAAGCCTACTGACATGAGCAGACTTCTTCCATTAACTTACTGCCCTCGAAATGGGGGGTGGAAAAACTACAATAACTTTATAGAAATTCCATGCTGTTAGCTTTCTATCTGCATAATGTATATGCAGTTTATGGTTCACTTTTCACTAGCCAATAAAAAGAAGAAAAATAAAGAAAGATAATTTCTTAATCTTTCATTTTCTCCTTATTGCATAGTTTTGATCTTTTAAAATCTGTAATTCCATATTTTATTACATAGACTGTAAAATTATGATGTCTATTATCCATGGCAACTTATCCAGTCAGGGTGAGTTCATATCTGTGCTCATTTGTACTCCAAGCTTACATTCTGCAGCTATGCAGCTTTCAGTTTAACTACATTATTTCCACAATCATTTTAAGAACAGATACATTACCACCGTTTTGTTCATGTTGCTAAGAAACCAGGCTCATAAATTCTTCTAGCCCTACAGACTTAAAACACAAACTTTATGTTTAAACAGGGCTCCTGATTTTGGCAGCGTTCACCAGCTAAAGCACAGACCTAGATCTAATGCCTCTGCATCCACATCATACTCTGGAGGGCCTGCAGTGTTAAGAAGCATGGGGTCTTCCAGTTATTGGGATGGCCCTGCCCTTCCTCAGGAGGTGGGACAGATTCTGTATGGTGAATTCATCTGTACTTTGACTCAACAGAACAAAAAATACATTAAGACACAATTAAAGGATAAGAGTATTTAAATAATAATAATTAAACCAAAGCAAACAGTTGATGCTGAGTAACAGGACTACAAAAAGGGTACATGCAGTCCAGCACGAAAGTGCTTGTTTGCTCTTGTCAATGAGACTTGCTGAATTAAAAACTCACAAAAAAACCCCACCTTACACATTTGGACACAAGAAACACAGATGTTCACCTTCTGCATATAAGTTTATTTAAAACTTCTTTGGAATTATGTTCTTACCACCTTGAAAAGAAAATTTATACCAGATTCTGATCTACTGCTAAGATATTTACTGTGATTTACTATGACTTACTGTACAAGAAAATATTTTCCATGCATAGAGACACATAAATCATCGTTCACTTAAACAAAATAATAGTGCTTATTACTATTGCTGCCTCTTACCGAATGACCAGAATTATGGCAAGCAGGTACACCATTACCCAAAAAATCAACTCCAGGAAAGGATATACATTAATATTTATACTCTAATGCACATCCTAATACTTCAGCATTACAATGAGATATGGGTTGCTGGCATGTGCAGCAATTAGCTTTGCTTTTGACAGTGCAAACAGAACCACCACCTCATCTGTTTGGACTCAATTTACAGATCTAATTTCACAAGGGGCAGAACACTGGCTCTGAAACTATTTATTCTACTGCAAACTTATTTCTCCTTAAAGCTTGAAATGATGGAGAGGATTTATATAAACAATAACCTGAGTAGCTTCAGACTTTCAGAACAGGTTGCAAATATTATGTTAGACAAGCAAGGCACTCACTTTATTAAAAGTGCCAGATATTCAGGACAAAATATTGCACGTGGAAGCCAGTTGTCTACTTAATAATTTCCTAAGTAGTGCTTGACTTCATCATGCTGGTGTTCTCTAGGTAATTTGGCAGAAGGAATTTTTATGTAGGTTGAAGGTGTCCTGGCTCTTGATACTTGTATTGGTATATAAGTTAAATAAGTGCACATTCAAGACATATCTAATTAGACAGAAGGAATAGAGATGAGAAGGATGTTTATAATGATATGACACAACTATCTAATACAATGCCAACATCCAGTTGCTAAGTGTGGAAAGGGAAAATGCATGAAGGAAGAGACTCTGCAGGGATGGAAGACAACTGCATGTGAATGGGGAAGGAAAGGATGATAAAAAAGAAAACTCAAGAGGCCTAGCTTGTTTTTAAACAAAGTAAGAAGTGACAAGAGTATGTATTTAACCAAGTTTACTATCTTAAACAGAAATTACTTTCTCTTCTGTTCCCCTCTTTGACCATTACTAAGAGAATGTTAATGCTTTCACTCCATTAACTGCTTTGGAGGCGGGGGGGCGGGGGGGGAGCAGGGAGAGCGTGCTTCCCAGTTCATTCTTTGCATTACTTCAGTGCTTTTATCAGTGCTTACAGTAACAAGTTTTCTTTGCAACTTTTCACCTAGTCAAAAGTTCAACTTCTATGGTGTTTTCTGTTGCTTCTAACATCTCTGCTTACAAGGATTTGGCCTCTCTTTTACAGATCTGAAGCCAAATCAAGCATAAACAGATTTTTCTCTAGAAGTAACTATTAAAAGGGACTGTTAATTTCTGCCCCAAAGGAATATTGAAGACAGTGAGACTTCCAAAATCCTGCTGCAGCTAAGAAAGACCAGGTTGCTGCACTATAGCCATCCTTCCCCTATTTGACAGCAAGTTTGTCATTTGCCAAGATTAAGCTAGCATCTGCCTTGCTTCAGAATTCATCCCATACAATGTAACTGTTAGGCAAGCACACAGAAAAACATTCAGCCACCTTGAAGTTTAAAGCATCCCTCTGAAGGGCACATTAGCTAAAGAGAAACATTAGTTAGTTATGAGAAAGGGTTGATTTTATTAAAAACAAAATAAAACCCCAAACCACAAAAATACAACCCATAGAAATTGTTAAGCTGAAATTAACCTTAACTTACCAATTGATGCATCACCATCCAAGAGATTGTCATCTTCAGAGGTCTGAAAGTCCATAATTACACCTGCTCCATCTAAAAGCTCCTCATCGCTGCTTGCACTAGTTATACTGTTGTAACTGTTTCGATAGTAGCCTCTATGAAACAGCTGCTCAGACTCCATTTAGCTGCTTTATAACCTATATAAAGAAAATTATTTATTTGCTATTTGAATATGCATAAAAGACTAAGAAGTTTATATCAAATAAAACAAGTGTATTTCATGCTTTGGGGAAAAGATATTAAGGTCACAATATTACAAGTTACAAAAAATGTAGCAGTAATACAGAACATATTATATTTAGAACATTTTATACAAATCTTTAGTGATTTTTTAAGTGGATGATATTTCCTCATCCCCTTCCTTGGCCTCTCCTTAGTTCAATGTTATCATCATGAAAGTATTTCACTTTCAGTACAGGTGGTTGGAATGTGCATGCCCCATGCGTACGAACGTGCATTGCACCATGGATCTGGTGCAAAGTCCAGCCAATGTTAAGGTTAAAAAATTAGTTTCTGGTATCTTTGTACCATGTCTTCCTGGAGTGAAACAGATGGCAGGCTAAAGTTGTAGGCCCCTGAACACAACTGTTCACGCTCTTTTGCACAGAAGAGCAAAAATATCAAAGTGAAAAATGGTTCAAAATCTTCATGTCCACATAAACTTTCAAAACCCTTACCTATTGGTATATAAGTTAAATAAGTGCACATTCAAGACATATCTAATTAGACAGAAGGAATAGAGATGAGAAGGATGTTTATAATGATATGACACAACTATCTAATACAATGCCAACATCCAGTTGCTAAGTGTGGAAAGGGAAAATGCATGAAGGAAGAGACTCTGCAGGGATGGAAGACAACTGCATGTGAATGGGGAAGGAAAGGATGATAAAAAAGAAAACTCAAGAGGCCTAGCTTGTTTTTAAACAAAGTAAGAAGTGACAAGAGTATGTATTTAACCAAGTTTACTATCTTAAACAGAAATTACTTTCTCTTCTGTTCCCCTCTTTGACCATTACTAAGAGAATGTTAATGCTTTCACTCCATTAACTGCTTTGGAGGCGGGGGGGCAGGGAGAGCGTGCTTCCCAGTTCATTCTTTGCATTCTTTACCTATATGCCTTTTGTTTGGTTGCTGTTTTATTTTTAAAGACAATGAGGTATCAGCAACACACGCTTTTGCACATTCAGTATACCACTAACACATTAGGTTTTCACAAACTCAGGCTGAGTCCTCCTTTGCCTTGCAGAGTTAAATCCACAGAAATAACTTTGTGACTGGGGTGGGAGGGAGGACAAGACATGATGACACCTTGATTCCATGCTCTTCTTTATACAAAGAAAGTTTTGTGTTTGTCATTTCTCAAAGATTATCACTCCTTATTAACATACAACAAGCAAATATACGTTTTTTTCAGTAATAAGAAACCCCTTATTCCCTCCAAGCAAAGGAGATGCCCCCTCAATCTACCTGCAAATCTTTTCCTCACACCCTTTTTCCTCTGCTTGTTTGCAGATTCTGTAACCACTCACTGTAATTGCTACAAAGCTGAATGCACTGTAAACTTCAGCCAGCTGGCAGAAATAAAAACAGGTAACAGCATTTCCAATTCCCATCCCTCTCTGCTACTCAGCTGTTGAGCCTTGTAAAGTATAGCCAAACTGGTGTCCAATACCAAGAGTTACTAGCAGAGGTCAGACAGCTTTCCTGTATTGGCTAATGGCTCAGCCCTCAAAGTAAATTACCTAAAAGAAGGGATGAAAAACAAAGCAACAAGGTTTGCTCAGTAGTTGCAGACGGAACTCTCAGCACTGTGCAACTGGGCAATAACACGAGATAAAATTCTGTACAGATAAATATTCACATTGAATCACATCACATGGTGAGGGGGCAGCAGAACCAGTCCTAGCTTACCTTTTAAAGTGATGGGCTCTGACCTAAATTACTACCATTCACAAATGTAATAATAAAGTTACAAGAAGGAGCTCAGCATGCACCAACAGTGCCCAAATTAATCCAGTACAAGAATTACCAGTTAAGAGAGAGAACTCCATTAAACCAGTGTATAAATCCCCAGCTTGTCCACACCTTAAATACTTTACATAGTGCCAAACGTCCAAAAGGATTATAGAAGAGCTGAAATGGGTTACGGAAGAGCACAATGATAATGGAGTACAAAATAGCTTTCCTTCTACAGGGCAACAAAATGGAACAGGACTCTTCAGTCTGGAAAAGATGTAATGTAGAAGACGACACAGCAGATATCAGCAGAATCACAAGCAGCATGAACACAAGTGAACAGCATGCTTTGTTTTTCAATAGTACCTATATGTCCTAATGAAGGAGGCGAGGTGAAAAGCAGAGAAAACAGGGCTGATTGTTCACACAGCACATAGGGAGGTGGTGGAATTCTTTGCCACTTTGCAGAAGTATGCAATGGTTCATAAAGCATCCTGACAAACTCACAGAAGAAAAAAAAACAACATCAAAAGCTATTAAAGATGGCACCTCTGGTAGAAATGCTGGAGGCTAGGAGTGCATTCTGGAGACATGCATATGCTTATTCTGTTCTTATATTTTTCCATAGAGATGTGCTGTTGGGCAAGACAGATCCCTCTGGCTTTACTCATTCTCATTTCCTTAAAAAATTATTTAGAACATTTTCAATTTAAAAAATAAATTTCTTCCATTCACCTTTATATGAAAATTCTTCTTGATATTCTACCATTTTATAGCCACTGAGAAAAGCTTCTTAATGGAGAGCCAAAAAAAAATTCATGCTGCCATAGAATTAAGCATATCGTGTTTGAAAATACAGTCGCTTATATCTGGAAACAGTGGAAGCATCTGATTCTTTTCCCCAAATAGATCCGACCGTAATTTATAACTTATTCAGAAGCTGTACTTCAAACTGTTCAACAGATATTAACTTTTCATATACTGTAATTTTTGTCATTCCAAATAAAATGGTACCTACAAAAACCATGCTCCAAAAGAAGTCAGATCACAAACAGTCTGACTATTTCATTATTATGCCCACAGAAAGTCCTGTTACTATCACTCTGCCAGTACCAGTTGGGTACTGTCATAAACGGAAGCCACACAGCACAGCTGAAATGAGACACTGGGACTTCCCAGAAGTGTTCCCACTCACTGCATTGTTCGTCACCTTCCTCCACCTGCTCCATGCACCAAAAATTATATTCTGTGCTCTTATCTGCCAACTGGCCTCCTGCTTGAGTGAATCTTTTTTATTTTTACATTCTTCAGATTTTTGCTATGTTCTGATGAGGTTTGCAAGGAGACAGCCTTGCCCATAAAAGTAGCACCAGAAGACAAAAAGCACAAGACACAAATCCTTCCCTGTAGCACACTAAGTTTTGGTCTATTGTGTTCTCTTCTTGTTGTATATCTGACTTTAAGAGGATTCTTTTTTCATTTATGTAGTAATCTTTATTACAAAGGAGAAAACAATTAACAAGCAAGAGAAAGACCACCATTCAGTTAGAAATGACAAAGGTAGTTTGCACACGTATCAAAACAACAGAGAGGTAGTAAATCTAGACCCAAAAAGTATTACTAATTCTGTATAAAGCCCAGGCCTCCAAACTTAAAATTCAAACTGCTCCAAGAACTCTTGAAGATCCTTGCTGTTAGTGTGCAAAAGTGAGAGTATCTCCCTTGTAAATCACAGGCAGAACACAACTAGAAAAAGCAATTACTTGAACTCAGAAGGAACTGATTCTATAGCGTTAACAGACACAAATTAAGGAGGCACAAGTAGTGAATTCTGGTATAAACACTTTGTTGTTATGTTTTATGCATACTGAGGGCATGGCTAAAGCCTGCTTAGTCTTTTAATTATTGTTCCAAGTTTGGAAGCCACATACAGACATTTTCTTGTAATAGTCTCAGCAGAAATATTTATTACAGAATAAAGGTGGAACATCGTAAATGTCTCTTTAAAAAAAAAAATTCTTTATACTAAATTCCACAGCTTCAGTTAATCTTACTGCAAATCTGCTATTCAGAATAAGAGAAATAACTGTCCCTTTGGATGTCTTTTTAATTACTTCAGAGAAATGTCAGAACAGTGGATTACAGATATTAAATCTTCCAATAACTGAGAAAATGCTTTTGGCCTGGTCTACAATGGAAGGGAAAGCTTCATCAATTAGTCGGTAACTAAGAAACCAAACCAAGAGACCCTCCAGTGCCAGACCAAGCATACTGCAAAGAATCCCTGCATCATCTCTGTGCAAAGGTGATTCCACATGTCAACTCTGCTGGCACACACACACCTGCAGTTACATGACGGGCCTTCTCTTCTTGTTTTGAGACCCTACCTGTCTCCTGCTGCAGAAGTATTGCTTCTGACAGACCTCTCCTACAATCTGGCAAAAGCCAAACACCAAAGCCATTCATTTTGAGGACCCTAACCAAGATTCTTAAAAAGCCTCCATGTTCCCAGAGTCAACTACCCCAACTGCTTCATATCTGACACTGTGTTACAGATATTGCCTTACAGTAGCACTCAGCAATGGCAGGAGTGCAAGAAACTAGGACCAGTAGAATGTTAAGCGTTCAATAAGCTTCACATAGGACTAAAATTTTACTTCTTAAGAGCATGCCAGTCACTAATTTGTCCACCACTACCTGCAATTAATGGGGGGGGGGAGGACAGCTGAGGTCAACATACAATAAATTTCCTTGTGTGCCTATAAGGAAAGGGTTTGTTTAACAAACTAGGATACAAAGTTAGGGATGCACTATCTTACTAGGATACAAAGTTAGGGATGCACTATCTTGAGCTGTGTTAAAACATTCAAGACAGCTTAGAGGTGTATGCTCATATGACCTTAAAATACTGTCAGTAGGTAAGAGATCTGCTTGGTTCGAGTGAAGGAAACAGAGTGATGTGGACACAGAGAATAGACAGATTGCTGGGAACAGCAACAATAAAGAAAAGAAAGAGACAGTAAAATGTTTTTTCCATGGTTACAACAGCCAGAAGGGAACCAGTATCATGTGTAACCCAGTCTGGTGCAGATTGTCCTTTGTGGCTACTGGCAGAGTGCATTCATACAATGGAGCCTCCACAGATGCTTATAGAGCTGTGACAAGAACTAACCAGCCAACTTGCCGTTTTCTAATGTCAGATTCATTCCACAGATTCCCTGCTCTATCCAAATGAGCACTAGAAGGCAAGTGGGAAAAGATGGAAGTTACTCAGAGAAACTGCAAATGGGAAAAAAAGTACTGGCTGAATGCTAGCCAAACCAAATAACCTGAAAAAGCAAACAAAAAATCCTACACCAGATCCCCAACAACCACTAGTTACAGTAAATATTTCAGTACTGTAAAAATCCAAAAGACATCACAAAGGATTAATGAGACTATTAAAGATATTACATTTAACTTATTTCTATGAAGTATCATAGTTTTGATTCAGAGTCCAGTCCAGATACCTCAGAAAGCAGACTCAAAAATCCTTCAGATTATCTTTGAAAAAAACAAAAATAGTGAAGTAATGCGCTGTAAGAATAAAAAAAGAAAGTCTAAGTGATATTCAGGGAGCTCTTGGAACAGGGAAGGAATTTGACTCAAGTCACGTACCCAAGTCTTCCATGAAAAGACTGTAAAGCAAAAAAGGTGCAGCTAACCTGTCACGCTTCCATTACCAAAGGTGTTTCCAGGATGTCCTGACCCATCAAAATTCTTATACAAAGCAGGTTAACAGAGAAGCCTCCCCACACAAAAAAAATTAAACACACACACACCCCCAACATAAAAAAACCCCACCCACAAAAAAACCCAAACAAAACCAAAGAACAGGCAGGTAAAGCAGGATGTTTTACCTGTTATGACTAGGGAGAGGAAAGAAAGTAATAAGCATACAGGCATATCAAATTGTGAAAGATCTAATTAAATACAGTGCAGGCAGAAACTACATTGGTAAAGGAGAACAGTACACAAACAGTTACATTCATAGTAGAAAAAGGATATAAGGCTATTGCATTTTTCTGCACAGTCTAATACCTCAGGCACTTTTCTGCTCTCAACCATCAGACATCCTGCTTATCTTTCAAGCTCTATAAATAAAAGGTCAAGCAAGTCAGCTGAGGGAACCACTTCCAGCACAGAGAAGCATCTCTGGAGAAGACAGAGTAGGACAGTAAGAAGTCTGATTTACAGGACATTCATTGTCAGATCATCGAGTAATCTGTAAATCTCTATGTACTCTATTGTCCCATAAACACACTTCTCTGTATCTCAAATGAGTAGCAGGAAACAACAGCATCTTAAATTTGTTATTTCTCTGGGAGGGAGGTGGAGTGAAACTTAAAAGTACTCTTCCAGATTCCAGATTACAAATCTGCTTTAAGAAGTTGAAAGCAAGGGGAAAAAAACCAAAACCCAAACCCACAAAAAATCACAATGATCAAGCTGATTAACAGAAGAGCTCTTTCCCAAACTGAGAAGAATCTTGATAAACCCAAAAATCTGTAATATTCAATTTTTCTGTTCAGTACTAACTCAACTAAGAGCTGTAAGGCAGTCCTTTGTCCCCTAACTCACACATACCTTCCTGCAAACCCTACACAAGGACAGCATCTAGTGAGAAATGCTATGCAGACATAAAACAAAAGCAGGTGAAATTAAAATTAAGAATACAATCTTTACACATAAGAATGTGCTCTACAGTAGAGGAAATGCAGTGATAACAACAGAAGAGTAATTTGCTGAAAATGTTTGAAAAAATTATAGAATTTTAAAGGTTTTAACTGGTAAGAACCTTCAAAAGTGAGTATTTGTTATAAAACATCAGAAATTCTATATACATCATCTTATTAAGAAAAGTATCCAACTACTATACACTTTAAGAACAGGTAAGTAATATGACAGAAACATTCCCCACACCCACACTTAAATTAAATTTTTAACGTATATCCCATATATGAGGATATATGTCAGGATAACTGCCCAAAAGATGGAAGCAGTCAAGAACAACTTTGAACACTTAATTACAAACCTCCCATATTGTGTTAATTTAAAATAGTGCAGCCATCTTTTTTTTTTTAAATAAGCCTGCCCTTCAGAAATAAATTTTGAGCTCAGAAATTTATAGTTTACAACATAGTAATTTACAGCAGTTTTAAAACAAAGGCCATGTTGTGGCCACTCTTTCATCCTCCAGCATCAAAATTACATTCCCATTTTCATCACAGACCCAGCATATCTAGCCTCCATTAATTTATTTTGCCTGTCACGTGAAGATAATTAAGCAAGATTAGAACATCATTCATTTTTCCAAACTTCAGGTTTGGAAAATGAATTGTGAGGAATTTCTCACTGTAATTTTTAAGAACACTGGTAGACTATTTTTTCATTAAAAGGCTCAAAAAATCCTACACTTCAAATCAAATACAGAAGGGAAGATGAGCGAAATAGCAGCTTTCCTGAACTTTCTCCAGTCAGCTTAGACCACAAAAATTCTTAAGGCTACTCAAGAACCCAAACTGTCAATAATTAGGGAATGCATATGCTAACCTTACAAAAATAAATACACAGAAGACCATTCTCTGAAGCATTCAAAAAACCCCATTTGAAGCTAACTTAACTGACCTCAGCAACATGACTGCTCCTATTGCAGTTATTTAGTGCAAAAATATCTACGTCAATTTTTAGGTCATATTTAAAAAAATAAAGTCACAAAGGAGCACTGCCAGTTAACTGAAGCTATTTGAGTTTAAAAAAAAAAAAAAAAAATCTGAGTTTATGTAGTATGTTCTCTTGGAATAGAAGATAAAAAGTCAGTTTCCAAAAACATACACAGGTAAAGCTTAGTCTAACTACTTTTCACAGCTACTTTCAAAATAAAATCAATGTTCATAGAGGAAAGAGACACATACTCCAATATTCTTTAAACAAAAAAGCAAGCAAAGACAAGAACAGAAACACACAGATGAAACTACATGAAAAGATAATACTTGTAAAGCATGAAGACAATCTTAGATTTAAAACTGTAACAAGAAAACAGTATTCATGGCTACTTTCTAGATTCTATTGAATCTTACCACTCAGTTATAAAAGCTTAATATAACAACAGCCTGAAAAGTTTTCACTTTTATGATACATACCAATATAGAGTATCACCCCTATATCTGATCTTCACAAAAGCAGAATCAATAATAAATACTTATTTTTATAGCACTTTATCTTCTCAGCTTAAAAAAAAAAAAAAAAGAAAAAAAAAAAGAACTTCAAAACTGCCAGTCTCATTACAGGATGAATACTGAACTCATGCTTCTAGTCATATGATTCCAAACATTAAGGGCATTGACTTTAGACTGTATTAAAGTATTCAAAACTACTTCATTTCCACTTTTCATGATGTCTTAACCACTAAGGCTATGGCTACTCATAGTTGTGACAGCTGAAGACTTACACCCCCTGGCACAAAGATATTAGCCTACTTGATGGAAGGGATTGCTTCTTTCACATTCTCCAAGTTACTAATATGAATACTTTTAAATTGCTTTCAATCAAAACTGGCTGGATTAGCTAAAACCTCAGATTTAAACTTACTAAACTAACCTCATTGATCATAACGTCAGCTTCATAGGCAAGTACTGATCCTTAGCCAGGTCATGGTAAACAACTGTGTCCATGGCTGCCACTTCAGAGCAAGCCTAAAATACACGTAAGATACAGTATTAGTTTCTAAACTAATGGGTCAGCACATATAGCTTCAAATATTCTGTCCACGGAAGAAAATATGGAGTGTCCCCTCTGCAAAAAAAAAAAAAAAAAAAAAAAAAAAGTCTTGCTGGTGTTGCTTCCATGATCGTATTCAGATGAGAATAACACTGCAATTTGTTACAACAACTGAAAGGTAAAACCCATACTCCTCTTTTGAAGGGCAGGAACTATGACTGTATGTAACTTTTTTCTGTTGAGTCTTTGGCCATGATGCTCATTTTCTGTTTGATGAAAAGACACAGCAACAGCGCACAACCTTCTCTTTACAGTTTTTAAAGGATTTTGTTCCTTTTTAATGTAGACTCATGTTGCAGTCATCTGAGGGTTACACAAACGATGGAGCAGAATTTTTACACCAGAATGACCAGAAGTCTTGTTATTCATACTACTTTTCTTTATCCTTTCAGAGAAATGCACAGAACAGTCCTCAGATACATGCACAGATTTGTAAGTTCAGGGTCACACCTGAGTTGGGTATGTTTCAGATAATTTTGTTAAAGTTCAATACATTTGTATCTTAATGACCTGAAAGTACTCAAAGAATGAAAAAGCAACTTTAATATAAAGGAAACAAGAGAGCATCACAAAAAAAGAGGCTCTGCAAGCCACACCAAAGAGCGCATGAGAGCACAGGCTCTGACAGAAAGAGAAGTGCATGGAAAGTATTAATTTTTGATAGGCAAAATTATAATTCAGGATTGTCAAACTGGAATCTGAAAAAGCAGCACTAGTCCCAGTTTAAGTCTAAGCATCTTCTCGGTAACAGCAGGTCCTTGTACTGAATTCCAGCTTCTGTATAAACACACTAAAGCCCCTGAGATCAAGAAAAAAAATCCTACAGAGCTTTCCAAAATGCAGCAGACATGCAACCGCTGCTTATGAAATCTTGTGGGGACCTCTGGTGGTTCTTGTTTACTTCCTCTCCCTACTACTGATTTTCCAACTTCAAAGTGAAGAACAGATCAGCTACCGGGGAACCCATTCGCTGTACTCTGGTTAGAAATTACAAGTGTGTTAAGTAACTGAGGTAAATTTGCTGAATCAGAATGAGGGAGCAGAGGAACGGGGCTGCATATGCTAGGAATGTATATGCTAGAAAAAGGATATAATATCTGTTAAAACCAGCCCTGTGGTCCGGCGTGAATATGCCACGTAGCCCAGTCCTGTGGTCTGCTGCAGCCAAGGTTACTCAAGATGATAAAGAGGGACCCGCGGCCTTCCTTCAAAACAACCCCTAACGACCACCATTGCGCACGCTCAAGAGGAGGAACACCTGCTTGAAGAAAATTTAAATACGAGACGAACAAGGGGTGATGAATATTAATGTAATAGTTGTGAAACATGATAAATATGTAAACTAGCTCTGTATAAATAAAGGCCAAAAGGATGTGACCTGGCGCACCTAGGTGGAGCTGCGACTCCCCGGCCGCCCAGCGCTGCTTTTGCTCCTTCACTTTAAATAAACCCTTGATTGGACTTATGAAGTAGTGGTCTCAGTGTTTGACCATAACACAAGTCTTTGGTGTCCAAAAAATAAAAAAAGCCAGGGGCTCTCCTTGGTATGTGTAACAAACAAACTGACAGATGCACTATGTAGAGCTATTCAAACTTCAAGGCTAGGATCCCTGACAATAGGCTTGCTCTTTTTCTTGCTCCAGATCCTCTCAAGCAGCAGTGTCAAGGCAGCAAGGTGAGGAAGGACCGAAGTGATCTGCAGTCAACACCTGGATCTGGCTCATAGCTGACCTTCTTGGCTGTACAAGACAGAAGCCACTTCATTTTTCTACATACAGTATATCCAACCATTACCGATTGCCATTCTGGTCTTCTTCAAAAGAATAAATAAATAAATAAATCTGTTGAGAGACCTGTGAACCTCTGGTGTTATATTAAAAAGCAGAAACAAGCCATTAACAAAGACACATACGCTAACTAAAGGAGATTTAAAAAACCCCAAAAGGCAGTGAAGCCCTAGATGCACAAACACCCTCAAAAGTGAAGTATTCACTAAATCAAGTGTGTTAACAGTTTCCAATTCACAGAAATTTCCCCTCACTTAAATATTCATCTCTCCAGCTGGTTGGAGAGTACAATTTCTAAAATTACGTGCACTTTGTCAGGATCTACAAACCGTAGACAAGTTTCTGGCACGAGAGTCTGGAGGGAAATTGTTACTGCTAAACAGTAGTATCAAGTTAAAAGCGAGAATCAAGGTGGATATTCCATGAGGAAAAAAGATGACTTCGCGGGAGATTTTTAATTTTGAAAATTACAGTAAAAAAGATTCAGTAATACTTTACTAAAAGCTTCTGATCAACAGAGTTAACACAAGCAGGTCAGTTATCTTAAATGTGTTGCATAACCACAGAGATGAAATCAGTTCACTGGGTTCATAGATCAAATTTATTAAAAATAATCCATCCTCTGCCTATCCAAAGAACCAAAAGGTTTTTTTAAATTTGCTGAAGAGGAATAAACATTCAGATTTTTGTGACTGTGGTAATAACAGGGATACTCAATGCACAGGTTGTTAGGTCTCCTTAAGCGTTCTGCAGTCTTACAAGCTTTGTTGTGTGAGTTAAAAGAATATTCATTTCTCAGCACAAAAGAAAACTGAGAAGTCTGTAAGACTGATAACAAATTTAAGTGTTTACTCATTCTTGTAGTGTTCCATATGAAAATAAAAGTTTTCTGCAAGACAAGCAGCAAAAAGTCAATAATTAAAAAGAAATCTTCTGTTTTCTTTCCTAGACACACCGCCTTTGGAAATCTGTACTTCACTTTTCAGCATCAGAAAATGAACATGTTTAGAAGCATATGGAGAACTGCTTTTTTTTTTCCCCTAACACACAGACAAAAGAGACAAATTAATAACAGAAACCTCAGGGGAAAAGCTACAGCATATCAAGAACCGCAGATAACACATCAAACCCCAACAAATCTGGCAAAAACTCAAACTTGGAGATAAGAGTGGAAGGACCTCAAACACAAACTTATCTTTCAGGAAAACGAGTACTTGAATTTTAATGGACAGGATACCAAAATATTAAGTCACCTCAGTAGCTCTATCTGTAATTTAAATGTATTACTCAAGTAAAATTACACTTTTACTATTTCAATTAGGAAATGTTTTTTCATTATACTGTATTGCAGTATGAATACACAAAATGCACATTTGAGTACTTCCTCTTTCATTAACTTTTTAGAGAAATTTATCAAAATATACCAAAAATCATGAAAAAAGCAACAGCAAAGGTTATTTTTATTGAAGGGCCTGTGCTTTAGGACTAAACTTAATTCACTTTTCCATTTACTATTCCTCCTTACCCCTGCAAAGTAAGCACAGACTCTACTCCTATAACTGGAAGGCCTAAGCAAACAAAAAAGCTTAACAAGCAAAAAAGCTAAACGTCTAGAAATTACAAGGGGAAATAACTGGTTAGACTCTCTGCAAGTCATTAAAACCAACCACTGGTACCCACTATGAAGTTATGAATTCTCTTCTTTCCATTCAATTCCAGCAGTACATATTCAAGATTACTTACTACATAATACAAACAAATACAGATAGTCCAGATGTAAAGAGATTTACAACTATTTTAACAGCTTTGTCTAGATTCCTTTCTATTACGCATGAAGCCCAGGAACTACTTTGTCAACGCTCTTCTCTCCGATGATGACAAGTATTATCAACTCATTATGTGTAACTACCACCTCAACATTTTATGTCAATTTTTTCAGTTTCTACCTTTTTAAAGCAAGCACATGTCCAAGCAAAGATTATTTTACAGTCTGTTTACAACTCTCTTACCAGAATCAATTTAAATAAGCATTGTTATATCTAAACATTATTCTCTCAGATGATTTTGTAAAGGCTTCCATAATTCAAAAACAAGTTTCAAGTTAAACAGCTATAAAAATTTATAATTGTCAACTTTCTAATATTCCGAGCATCTTATGTTTCTAAAGCCTGGCATATAAACGAGCACAAAGTACTACGTAGCAGAACCTAGAGCTGCGCACCTCATTCATGAGCACAGGTAAAAAGGAGGCCTGATGCCTGAATGGCTTTAGGAAGTCAGCCAACACAGGACCTGCACTTTCAGAGCACAGAAGTATAAAGTTGAAATCTTAGTTTGGAGAAAAAGAACAGGGAGGGTGTATAAGCAGTTTCATGCGCATGATCACTGCTACTGCTGACCGCCTTCAGAGATTACAGGATTACTCCTGCTGCCAAGGAGGTGCCAAAGCAAGAAGTTTAGAAACATGCAACGTAGAGTCTGAGAATTAGGAAACAAACTCTTCAAACAACTTGAACTGGCACTATCATTTCTGGCACAAATCTCTTCAATAGTAGACCTTCTATTCCACTTTTTGATTATGACCAAGTCAAAAACATCCCTACTGCCAAATTATTATAAGACTTTACCCTGAAAACTTGATCTGCACAGTAACACTTATCTACATGCATATGAAGTCACTCAAACAGGCTGTCACCATGTGCCACAAGCTGCCCCTGTGTGCTGTAAGACGAACTGTCAGGGAAGACAACTGGCCTGGCTGAACAGGGAGCTTTCTCTAGGACTCAGAAAAAAAGAAGAGTTTACTACTTTGGGATGAAGGGGTGGGCAACTCAAGAAGAGTACAGGCATCTCGTTAGGTCACACAGAGAGAAAATTAGAAAGGCAAAGGGCAGCTAGAACTCAACCTGGCCACTGTTGTAAGATATAAAAAAAATGTTTTTAGAAATACATTAACAGCAAAAAGAGAAACAAGGAGACCCTCCACCCTTTACTGGATGTGGGGGGGAACATTGCCATCAAGGATGAGGAAAAGGCCGAGGTACTTCATGCCTTCTTTGCCTCGGTCTTTAATAGTCAGATCGGTTATCCCCAGGGTATTCAGCCCCCTGAGCT